GTGTGTGTGTGTGTGTGTATCCAATTCTTACATTAATGTGCAACGAATGAATGAAATTAGATGATGACAATTTTTTTTTTTTTTTTGGTATAGGTTCTTTATGTGTGTGTGTGTATGTTTATTTATCCGAAATTTTAAGTACGAAGAAAAACAATACACACTTATTATTGAGGGCGCCAGCCAAGTGTTTATTGTATAGCATGAAGCAAACCACTTGAGAGTTGTCGTCGTCGTCATCGTCATCGTCGTTGTTGTTGTTGTTGTTGTTGAGATGAGCATTTTTTTCAGATTCAATATATTGATTAATTGTTCACTTCACTGTCATTTCTTTCTTGCTTACTTTTTGTTTCAACGAAAAGACCTGTGCCAAAAGTATGCGTGTATAGAGAGGTGTATTTCCTGGCAATTTTTTTGTTTTGAAAATTTGCATCCAAATGACTTTTTTCGTTTTGAGCATCTTCATAGGATTTTTTTTTCTCATTCACTTCATTTCATTCCATTCAATTCAAGAGAAGAAAAGAAAAGAAAAGAAAGGAAGAAAAACGCCCATTGAATTGAATTTTCATCATCTTGAATTATCATTAAAAAAACTGAGAGAAACTGAGATTTTGTTTTCTTCATTTCTTTATTTTGTTTACAGCCTTTTTTTCTGACTACCGGTTAATTAATGAATTCACAATGAAACGGGTTGACGTTTTTTTTTCATCATCTTCTTGTTCTTTTCAAATGAATGATTCAACTGGATTCAAATACAGAGAAAAGATTATGGTGAAATCTGTAATACAAAGCACGAATGTTTCAAATGTTAATGTGAGCCTATATATATATATAAATAAATAAATAAGCTTGATCCACAAATTAAAATTCAAAGCTCCATCCCAATACTATCATCATCATTCGATGAAAGACACAAACATTTGATTGTATCTTGATCAAAGGGATTAACTTTGGTGGTGGATACTGAGTGAATGAATGAAGATAAAAAAAAATTGACAAGTCAGAATGTTTTGAAAATTAAATTTAAACTCACCTACTATAACGGTCTTTTAGAAATTATACCAAGAATTTAGAAAAGCCTGTATGTGTGTGTGTGTGTGTGTGTGAAAATGAAGAACGTGCTTTCTAACTAATAGCTTGTATATCTGTAGTATAGTGTTTCAGGAATTCTGTGTTTACCAGTGTGTGTGTGTGTGTGTGCATGTCCAACGAATATAACGAATCACGAATTGACACCGACTGAGAGAATCACATGATACTGGTAAATATACTCCATAAGCGGTCCAAATTTTATGACTTTTATTCAACAATGTTTGGCTTTGATTTTCTCAATTTTCACCATCATTTTTGCACTAATCCATTGTATGATGATTGTTGTTGTCGTTTTTGTGGCCATACAATACATGTCATAGACGAAAAAAAAAATTATGACCATTAACAACAACAACAACCGTAATGACTGTGAATCCATAGATTTCAAACAAAAATAAAGAATATATTGTTCTGTGTGTTGCATTAAGACAAATCATCATTTATTTAAATTACATCGTATGTATAGCGCCAAACACACAAATGCAATGTTTTTGACAATGAATATAACATCGAAATATATTCAAAGTTTTTCTATGGTTTCCTAAATTTATGAATGAATCCCAATTTGTTATTTGTTGCTGTTGTTGTTTATGAATGAATTGGATTGAGATTTTTCCATTATTAGAATGATCAATACATACACATATTATTATTGTTTTATTTTCTATTCTATATTGTGTCGCAGACTTTATGCAGCAAAATGTACAAATTGTTTGGAATCAATCAATTCCGATGAGCTTGTTATGCGTGTACATGGTTTTGTATATCATTTATCCTGTTTTATTTGCATTTGGTGTAAACGACAATTGAAAAAAGGCGATAAATTTGCATTACGTGGCCATCAACCAGTATGTGAAACAGATCTAACAAAATCTAATGAACCATCATCACATATTGTGACTACATATAGTATGCAACAACAACAATCACAGCATTTATCATTATTGAATCAAACATTGAATCACGATATTGGTGTATATGATATGATTTATGGATTATCCGTACGAATGTCACCATCATCATCAACAACAACAACAACAACAACAACAGCAACGACAATAACGATGGCCGATAAACCATTATCATCGCAACCACATTTAACAATGTTGCAACCACCGGCCTCAAATACATCAACATGTCATCATGATAATACATCAACAGATCATCAGTATTCACCTCGAGCATTAACTAACTGTGATTCGCCAATGATTATTAATAAAACGATCAACAACAACAGCCTCAACTACCACAACAACAACAACAACAACCACCACCATCATCAACAACAACAACTTCACAGCCATCATATTCATCACCATCTCATCATAATAATACGCCTAATTGCAATAATAGTACAAGTCCGATACCAATTAAACAGGATGGTCGTCGTGGTCCAAAACGACCAAGAACTATACTCACTACTGCACAACGTAGAGCATTTAAAGCTTCATTTGAGATTAGTCAGAAACCATGCCGTAAAGTAATGACAAACATTTAAATTACTTACATTGATTTAATGAATTTTTTTTTCTTAGGTTCGTGAAACATTGGCCAAAGAAACTGGTCTTAGTGTTCGTATCGTTCAAGTATGGTTCCAAAATCAACGAGCTAAGGTAAACAATTTATAATGCACTTGATTCAAAAAATGTTTATCATTGAAATTTCTTTTTGTTAATGAATAGCTGAAGAAAATTCAAAGAAAACAACAACAACAACAAATGACACAAGGTGGTGGCGGTAGTATTATAATTGGTAATGGAAGTGAATCAGGTGCTGGTATCGGATCCAGTGATAAATCGAAAGGTTTGTTTTATTCAATGAGAAAATGAAAAAAAAAACAACAACGTCTAATGTGATTTATTTATATCGATTTTCCATTATATATAGACGATACAACAGATGACGATGATGATGATCAAGATGATGATGATGATGATGATGAATCTCAACAATTTTCTATTCCTTTTATGTTACAAAGTCCAGATGCTGGTAATATTCATTTGAATTTATTATCAATTTTTCTTTGAAATGTTTAACTTTTTCTTATTTATATTGTGTGCGCTGATTTGTTCAGGTTCATATTATTCAGGACGTGGTGATGAAGATGGTTATGCTTGTAATAAAAGTGAAATGGGCTGTATGGATGATAGTGAAACAAGCCTCTGTGAATTGGACGATAATAATGGAATCAATCGATCATCAAATTCTGAATCTGATCATCATCAACATCGTTTATCATCGGTTTCTACTACTACACCGGTTAATCATCATCATCAACATCATCATCATCATTCGAATTCATCATTACAATTTGGTTCATTATCTTTGATTACAAATAATGTAACAACAGCCATTATGTCGAATAGTGTATCAAATCACCACAATTCAATGTTTTCACCACCACCACCACCGCTACCACCATCAACACATCATCCTCATGGTGGTCTAGGACAACAACAACAACTACAACTACAACATGGTCAATCATCAAATAACATGTTACATTTGTCGAATAATAATACATCATCATCATCATCATCGATAACGAATATGACACCAATCGATAAATTGTATTCAATGCAAAATTCTTATTTCAGTAATCCACCATCGGAATGTGAATGCTGAGAACAACAACAATTGCAAAAACACACACACACACACACACACACACGCACAAAATAAGTATTTTTCACTGTATAAATCATCATCGTCTTGTAATAATCAATTTATTATCATCGTTTGAACCAAGAAGAAGAAAAAACTTTTCAAGATTGCAATTAATTACATTGATTGGCTAGTCGTTTAAACATTCATCAATTATTTATATAACAAAATATCAGATTGAAATTCATCAGATTCATTCAATTTTTTTCTCTCTCTTTTTGTTAAATCATTTCTTCTTCTTCATAATTTTAATCATAACTAGAATCTTATATCATCATCATTTACAACAAATACAATGAAGAATCAGGAATTTTGAAATTTGAAAACATGTATTTCATTTTTTTTTTCCACCATGCATTTCACATATCCATCACCATCATTAACTTAAATTTAACACACACACAAATTTAAAAAATATTGATAATTTATTAACAACAAAAAAAAGAAATGTAAAAATTGAAAAATAAAATGTGTGGATCATGAACATTGATGATGATGATAAAACTGGTTAGTGGGCGGGTAGTAAACGGGATGGCTCACAACAGGATGTGATTCGATGAATCTTTTGAAAAAAAATTCACACACCTCGTGGGTCAAAAAAAATTCCAACATTTTATTGATGGATTTGTTTATACGGGTCAAAGGGAAATAATTTTCTTTCACAATGAAACCAAGTGTGTAGTGGAAAATATTTTTTTTGTTCTGTTTCTCATAAACGGTAACGGTTTTATTCGTTGTAAATGTGCTCGTATAGAATGCATGTATTAATGAATCGAACAATGCGATAAGCGGAGAACATGATGAGGTATCTAGCATGCATGATGACACATGGACAGAATTTGAAAAAAGGGAGAGAAAAAAAAACGATCGTCACATGTCATGAATCTGGTGCATGATGATTTGGAATCCGGTAAAACATGCTCCGACGGACACGGTTTTTTTTTGATGCTCTTCAATGATCTAGATTTGTATGATGTGTGTGTGTATGTTTGTTTTTGTTGTTGTTGTTGTTGTTGGCACAACAGCTTGTCACTATTGGATTGGTGGATAAACATTTGGAAAAGCCAATGGGTTTTTTTTAGATAAATTCTGTTGTCACCAAAAAGTGTGTGTGTGTGTGTGTGTGTCGTTGTTGTTTGGACATTGAAGACACAGTTTTTACAGAAGAAAAATTCATTCAACTATTGCGTGTCTAATTGTCGTTGTATTTGTTGTTTAATTTTTTGCCATCATCCTCATCATCATCATCATTTTGACAATTTGAAATTTATAATGGAAACAACAATGTAACTGAGTGTGTGTGTGTGTGATATAAAATGGTCGGGAAAATAAGATTTCCATCATGATGATGATGATGATGATAATGATGAAAAGTTATTTCGAAATTCAACGAAAACCGCCCATCAAATCATCGCCACCAACACCACCAAAACCGAGCTTGTTTCCTAATCCAAAGCCACCAAATTTACCACCACCACCACCACCACCACCACCAACACCGACATTTGGATATGATTGCATCATATGTATTGGAAGATGATTATGATGATAGAATTTATATACTGGTTTATGTACTGGTATATGGATCGGTATCGGTACTATTTGTGCGTGTGAAGAAAAAAACAATCAATAAATGAATCAAAAAAATCATCATACTCACTATAATTATGATGATCATCATGATGTCCACCACCGATGATAATAATATCACCACGTTTCTTTTTACCATCAACCATTGAAACAATGATGAACAAAGCTGTAAAAATTATCAAATTTTTCAATTCCATTTTTGTTGTTGTTGAAAAACAATGAATGAAACAAACAAACAAATAAACAAACAGTACACCACATACAAATAAAATATGTGAATGAATACATGTTTTTTTTGGTTTTTATACCTTTGGACAAAATGATTTTTTTGTTTTACAAAACACTTACATATATTATAATTATTCCATTCCATCATAATCAACAATCTCATTTGATTCGTTTGTTTGTTTGTTTTTTCGGTTTTCCACCGAATACGACCGACATTCAAATTTTCATTTCCCGAATTTCAATATTTATTATCTCATACACAACACCGATCAAAAAAAAAAAAAAGTTCAGGTCCAATTGTCGTTGTCGGTCGTGCATGATCAAGTTGAAGTTTGCTATGGAAATAAAAACAATGTAGAAAATCATATGGAGAAAATCATTTTTAATTACGAAAATTATTTTTTTTTTTGAAAGTAAAAAAAAAATCAACTTGAAAAACTTTCTATTTCATGATTGATTTGATTGATTAGATTTGGAAGCAAAAAAAATATCGATCAAGATGATGATGATGATGATGATTGTGCATACAAAATCAATTATGATTGAATGGAATTGTTTCGATGGTGAATTGATAGAAAAAAAAATGTGAAATGATTTAAAATGTAAATAAACAACACGTAACAGGATGATTGATTGATTGATCGATTGGAGGGGCCAAAAACGCAACAGTAATAAAGATTTTCAGCCAAATATCGATGATGGCGGATAATGATGAAAATATCAAATCAGGTGAATATGGATCATCCCTGTGTGTGTGTGAAGAATCAATTTTCTCGATGATGACGATGATGATGATTGAGTTTTTTATTTGTTTTTTTTTCTCTCACTTGATAGTGGTCATTTATCATTATCGACTCATGACCACTATCACCACCAACAGCATGGTGATTGAAAAGTGATCTGATTTAGGTTCAACGAGGCAAATCATGATCATGGTTTTTGTATGTGTGTGCGTGTGCTATGGTAATAAATCTAGCCGCACAATAAATCATCATTTCATTTCATTTTTTGGGGGAAGGAGCTACAAAATACTTTTGGAACATTTTCATACAACACAATCTGACCGACAATTTGTGTGTGATTTTTTTCTTTAATTAACTCACTACTCTATGTATATCATAGACAACCAAATTAGTCACATTTTTTTTTCTTGATATCAAAAACAAACAAACAATTTTTTTCATTTCATTCAAAATTTGAAACTAGAGACACGGAAATTCGTCCGAAATATATGATATGATCATAATATAATTCAAACCACACACACACACACACACACGCACAAACACAATTGAGTTATTGTTTATAAGAGAGAGGGAGACACGAAGATGTCATTGTTTTATCATCAATGGAATAATTAAATCCAATTATTATTAATTATAGTTGGGTCACACACACACACACACATAAAATGAAAAATAAAAGAAAAAATGTTTTCAATTTCATTCATCGTCATTCAAAATGATGCTAGAGGCTATCCCGTTTTTTTTTCTTTAACCTAAAAAAATAAAACATTGTTATTGCGTGATTTTCGACAAAAAAAGGGGTGTTGGTTGCAATTGATGAGATTCTCTTTTTATTTAAATACGGGATTAATTACCCGTAAAAATTTCTCTTTAATTAAAAATGTTCATTTTTGTTTTTGATATAAAAACGATTGTCTTGTTGTTGTTCAAACATCTCAATACGTTTTTTTTTTTTTGATTTCTGTGCATCGTGCAAAAATTCTTATCGTGTTTGTTTTGGCAACTGTTTTTTATGTGTGTGTGTGTGTTTCTTGAATATCGAAAAAAAATGTTGCGTTTCCCGTTGTTCATTACCATTTCATCATTGGCAATCGTATTGGTTCATGGTGGTCAGAGTAAAGGTGGTGATACAATCATTATTGGTGGCGGCGGTGGTGGTGGTGGTGATGATCATGAGACCAAAATGAGTAAGATTATCATCGAGAATTTTGAAATTTTTTTTCACTATTTCATTTCTTCTTCTTTCTATTTTTCTCTGCTTTCAAGTTCCAATACCAATTATGATGCCACAACCAAAAACTTATCATCATTCGTATACGAAAATTATTCCAATACATATTCCGGCGCATCAACCACATGTTTTCAACGTCTATGGTGGTCATGGCGGGTACGGTGGCCACGTTGATCATCAAAACTATGATTATTATGGCGGCGGATATGGTGGTGGCGGATATGGTGGTGGCGGACATTATGGTGGTGGATATGGTGGTGGCGGACATGATAGTGGTTATTCTGGTGGATATGGTGGTGGATCTGGAGGAATGGGTGGCCATTATAGTAGCTCCGGTTATGGATCTTATAGTAGCCATATGAATCATGGTGGTGGCGATGATGGCTACGGTGGTGGATCATACAAATAAATGAAAAAAAAACATTTGAACATTTTCAATTGGAATGTTTCCTTTATTGAAATATAATCGTAAAATGTCGTATATTTTTTATTCATTTTAAAATGAAGTGAAATTTTCATTATATCATGCCATTATCATAATTTTCTTTGTAAAATTCAGATAAATAAATTATTTTTCTATTCTAAAAAATAACGAAATAAAATAAACTAATCGATGAATGAATTCTATCCAGATGTTCATTTTCGATTAGTGTCATCATCACCATTATCATAAAGGTTCTCGAAATATTGAATTCTGAAAGAATTTATGATCATTATCATTGAAAAATTCCAAAACGTCTTATGAATAGTATAGTTTAGCACAAACACACATAAATTCTGGTGACCTTTCCATTGTATAAAACAGAATGTTGCCATTAAAAAAAATTTTTTTTAAATAAAACCATTAGCCTGTTTATTGTCGTTGTTGTTGTTTGGTGCCTGTGTGGACACAAGTGTGCTAAATGATCTTTACCCTTGTGAAACATGTGTCAAATCATATGATGATGATGATAATGATGATGAGGTCCAATATGATCATAAGTTAGCGTCTGTCTTTTATTTCGTTAGAAAAATCGGTAACCGGTAAATCGGAACCGGGAACTGGAGATCATAATCTTTAAATTATCATTAAATTTAAAGTATAATGATGATAATGAATTCGACGAAGAGAAAAAAAAAGAAGTTTTTTCCATCTAAATGTTGACAACATGACAACAGCTTGGAAATGGATGTCATCGATTATTGAAGTATTTAAATCATTCAAAAAGACCAGATTAAATTTATTGAGAAATGAAAAAAAAACGTATTTCATAAGAACAATCAAAACATTCATGAAAGTGTATGTGTGTGCGATATTTTGAGGAAACAGAATAAAAAATTTGTAAAACTTGATTATGTATGTAAACGATATAGATAAGGAAAAATTTGGATGATGAAGAAAAAAAAAGAAAAACGAACGAATATCTTTTTGTTTGTTTGTTGCAAATATCACTTTTGATCACGAAACATTTTCCACCAATCAATCAATCAATATTTTTTGAACCACGAAATTTACTACGAAATTTTGATGTTCGAAATAAATCATGATGATGATTTTTATTATCATCACAATTATGCATTGTATCCATCATTGAATCGTTCACTATATCTTCACTACCGGATTCAGATGAACCAGATGATAATCGTGATTTGAAATAAATTTTTGTTGATATATTCTTTTTACGATTCTTGATAGTATGATATTCATTTCGACGTATGCTTGTACGTAATTTCATTACATTCTGTAATTTAAAAACAATTTCTTCCGCCGTACTCGATTCGGCATCAAATTTAATATGTTTAAAATTATTTCCATTCCAATAGACAATTTTAAATGCTTGTCGGCCAGCAACTGTGGGTGTGTGCATGTATGGAATTGAATTGAATTAGTCAAAAAAAATTATTTAAAAAAAGTGAAATAAATACTTTGTTTATGTGACGGTGCCACATGACAGTCGACAACATCTTCAACATTAATGTTCATTGCTTTGATGCCCTGGAATCGGGAGAATAATTTTTCAGTCAACAGACTAGACGGACTACGAGCATTTGATTTGGGTGTTATTTCCAATTTTCCTTCGGAAATGCCCATTTCAACCGGTGTATTATAAAGTTTTGTAACTGAATTCACATCGAAACATTGATATAATGGTGCTTTCATTATATCAATCAGATTCGAGCTGTAATCATTTGGATCACGTATCTTTTTCGATGCCATATTTGTATTATTTGTATCAAGATTATATAAGGCAGATGATGATTTATTCAGACGTAATCCGGTAATGCCTTTCGGTAATGATGAAGCTATGTGAAAAAAAATCGCAATAATTATTATGAAATCTGTATACAATGAGCAAACAAACATTTTTCTTTAACCGTTAGTGTTTCCACCGATTTAGTACCGGAATCTTTTTCCGGGAATTCCAATAAAAATTTCACCGATGGTCTGATTGTGTCCAAATGGTGTTTATCCAGATATTTAGAAACTGGTGAATTCAAATCAAGCAAAACACCGGGCTGTGAACGTAATTCAAGACGACAATCTGATGTTCGATTACGAAATAAATGTGGACGTCGTTTCTTAATTTGTTCGACGATCTCTTTCAATTGGGTAGTGGGAGAATCGACAGTAAATTGTGAGAATACATCTTCGGAATCGATAAAACTGAAATAAAAATGGTGATTAAAAAAATATTGGAAAATTATCAACCAGTCTTGACACTCACACAGTGATAAATATTTCCGTTACAACTGAAACCAATGCCAGATATGGAAATCCATAACGTTTGACGTCATCGGTAAAACCTAAACTTGGAAAATCATTATCCACATCACCATTTTCTTCGGCAATTTTCAATGCATAAGCCGTCAGCACTGGTTTAAGTGGTGGACCTATCTCTAAATGTGTGTAATGCCAACAAATCAATCCGATTAGATCACAAACACGAGCATTAGCCAATACAACAACTTCGATCCAATTTGGACCACAATTGATGCCGGATATGGAGGGTTGAAATCGCTCAGTAAAATCATATGGTTCAAATTCTGGGTTATTTTCATGAATATTGAAAAAAATTCGAACCCTTTTCGTATGAGCTGTACTATCACTAAGACGGCCATCGAATAGCGTAAATTCATTGAATGGATTGACCGGTGCCATCGGTGATTGTTCAATTCGTTGACTGAGCATTGATTTTCTTCGTGGTTTCGATAACAAATCTTTGACAATTTCATCACCAGGCGATTGTTCTGGATCTAATTCTTTTTTTGGAAATAGAAATTTTCGATATGCATCGGTTTCATCTATAGATGAAAAAAAAACAAATGGAAAATTTTACTAGAATTTTGTACGAAACACAAAACAAATGCATTGCTTACAATAAACATTTTCTTTTGGATCAAATTCAAGCAAATCACGTTCCTGTTGAGGTAGTTGTTCAGCATCCAATACGATACGTTTGATACGTATAATATCACCTTGCGTGTTTTGTGAAACAATCGGTGTCGTACCTTTCCATGTGACCACTTTAGTTTTCGATTGTACTTTACGTTCTCGTTTAAGTTTTTCCAATTTTTGAGCAGTATTTGATCGCCGCCGTATACCAATCTCATATGATTCATACATTATGTCCAATGATTGTGTTGGTTGATCATCATCGATCAATTCCGATTGATATTCTAATTCAGTTTCTATTGCCATGTTTTATATATAATAATTAAAAAGTTGAACATTTCAAAATCAAAAAAAAACTCACTTTTTAACAATTCTATCTCATCGTCATTAGTTTTGAAATCATTCAGACTAATGATTGTTTGATTATCAGCTGATGGTAGTTGATCATGACTCGAACCATCATCATTATCATCATCATCATCATCATCATCGGAATAATAATAATCAAAATGATGTTTATAAATAGATTCATATGGGTAACGATTCGATTGTTCATTTAACATTACTGTTTCACACATTCCAGTATCATCACATGTAATGAATGAATGACGAATATGGGATAAAATGAAACGTTTATCATCACAAAGAGACATTTTCGTTTTCTATCGGTTGATCAATTAGTTAGTAGAAATAAAATTATCACAATTTGTTTGGGCCATCAATCAATCAATCTATCATCATCATCATCATCATTATTAATGCCATTGTGTGTTGAAATATCGAAACAATTTTTCATTTGTTTCACGTTTGGATTTTTCGTTTTTTAATACCCGGACAACAACAACGAAATCAAAACAAATCATCTGTGTTTACAAAAAAATTTTTAATCTCACCGTAAAAAATAACAATTCCACTGCTACCATCTATGATCTATGGATGTAATTAAGAATGAAAAATTCAATAACAACGCAACAAGCATGGAACATGGAACTTTTTCTTTTTTTTTCTTTTGATTGAATCATGATTGATGCATTCAGGGCTGAGGTCAGAGTTCGGCAAGAAAAAAAATTCATGCCTTCAAACATGATCTGATCATCATTTTGATGTGGCGGTCAAATATGTGAATGATGATGATGATGGTGATGATTCACTCACACTCAACATACAAAAATGATGACCGAATTCAAATTCAAATCTAGTCTCTACCCATCATAATTCGTACATGTTGGACTCTCTTTTTTTTTGTTCAAAACGTGAAAAAAAACTTTATCGCCTTCAACATTCCACATTCTCCTGAGCCAATCGATAGATAGCACAGAGAATGAAATCATCACATTGAACATATAGACAAGGGAGGACACCACCACCACCACCATTATTCGGTATATGGGGACGGCGAAAAACAACCGCGATCCTGACATCTGTCAATCAAAATCATCATATTACCCCCATGCATGTATTTCACCAAAATATTCATTGATCGGTATAAATGAAAAAAAAGGTTCGTCATCATCATCATCATCCATCACGGTTCATCATGGTTCGATTTGTAATTTTTTTTTTATGAAAATCGAAAATCATCATCATCGTCGTCGTTGTTGTTGTTCAAAAAACACAAGAGCGAATCGAATTAATCAAATGTGGATCTTTCTATCGTGTATCTCTTTGTTTGAAAATGGGAAATCAATGAAACAAAATGAAATCGAAAAGATTTTTTCGATTCGTGCCATTTTGCATTTTGGAAGGAATTTAGCCAATTGATTCTCAATGTTGTTGTTGTTGTTGATATTTTTGTTACGGTTTAACGTAAATGTTTTTATCATCAAACACATCATTTATTGTGATTGGATTTCCAATTGATTTGCAAATTATTTTACCAGGATTATTTATTCTTTTTCACTTTGTTTGATCTGGTTAGATCAATGTCCAATGACCAAGAAAAAAAATGAATAAGCGAATGACATTCATTCAATCAAATGAAATGTGATTATGATGGTGCTTAAAGGATTTTCTTGAAACAAGAAAAAGGTGTGACCATTGTTTCACCTAGCTCCGCCTATTTTCTTTGAAGTCAATCTCTGTTTGCATGATACAGTTATCACTCTCTTTTTTTAAGATTTTAGTTAGCCATTTGGTGGTGATAAAAGTTTTTTTTTCAATAATCGATGATTATTTATTTTTTTTCTGAAAATGATTTTGTAAATTTTATTTTCATCAAACTTGTCAATAATACAAAGACAAAGACAATGTATGATTTCACATTAGTCAAAAAATAAGAAATAAAAAAGGAGGTTGGCGCCTGACTGGATGCAAGGCGTGACTATAGAGAGTGAGTATCAATAATAATCGAAATGAATGAATGAATGAAAAAACAAGACGCATGTGAACCAGAAAAAAAACCAAAAGAGAGCCAAGCCTTTTTTTCTCTGTCTAACATGAATGACAGACATCCATCTACATCCAATCCATCTCATTGTGTGCATTATTTTACAATCAAGTTTCAATCGCGCGCGCAAACCAATTTTTTTTTTTTTTTCTGGTGCTGTTGTCATGATGATGATGATGATGATCAATGTTTGAGAATCCTCGTGGTCGCCCCGTGTATATTATTACCGCACATGCATGCATGTGTGTGTGTCGTAGATGCCGAAAAAAAAACAAAGCAGCTGTTTAGTGTATCTCCGGCCACCACATATATTTGAATGAAATGCGCGCCAACAAACTGTTGTGGGATTCAATAAGAAGTAGTATTAATATCAGTAGAATATGAATTACATGAACACATCTTTCTGGAGTAGTAGTAGTAGTAGTACTTGGTATGATTGAATTAACCACTACGTCCAAAAATACCCGAAACTAATATTCATGGATTCCACTACTACCAGATCTAGGATACATGTATACACAAAACACAAAAATTCACGGTTAATATTAATTCCACTACCAATTTGGAACAATTTGATCATTTTGATTCATTTTTCTATGCTTCTATACAAACATTTGGATAAATAATGGTAGTGGCATTCATTAAAATCAGAATCACAAGAATATCTTCTCTCCATTCATCACAATTCTCTTTCATATGTTTCAATTATTCAGCTTCCTCCCTCCCTCGGTGTGTTGATAAGCTACCCATCATACCTACCGACCAAACAACCGATCCAACACATACATATACACAATTCATTTATTTCATTCTCAACATAGTGCTCATACGTATCACACACATCACTATTGATGGACTGCTGTCACATAACGAAATAAAGAAAAGAGAAAGAGAGAGAGAGAGTTTGTTGTCTGCTTTGATCTCTCTTTTTTCTCTTGAATTTTATTTCGATCCATTCTCTTTTTGTTTGCTGCTGCTATTTGCCGTGCTGCTGCTTATGATTGTTGATGTTGCTGTGCTGTATGTTGCTGTCTGTCTGTTGTATATGTTGTTTGTTATTATTATTGGCATTGGTTGTTGATGTGTATGTTGTGCGCTCCCGCCGCTGTCGTTCACTCTGTTACCGCCGTATATACCATCATTTTCCATTTTTTGTTTCAATACAAAAAAAAGAATTCTCCATCATCATCAACAAAATCCATCCATCAATCACAAATAATAATCGTCGACATTCGGGCGACAGATTCTCTCTAAATTTCTCTTTCATCAAAAAAGAAGAAAAAAAAATTATTATAACAACAAAGTGATGAAGAAGATCCATCATCATCATCATGATCATCAATGATGTGTGTGTGTGTGTGTGTGTGATCCACCAATAAATAAATGAGAGTATTTAACTCTGCATTAAATGAATGAATACGATATAATAAATCCTCATCAAAATTGACAACAACAACAAATAATTGAAAGTGAAACACACACACAAATGCACATAAGCATATCAAAAAGCATCAAGAATCTGTCAATTTCAAACATCTCTTGTGTCAAAAAAAAGAATTAATATAATTCACCTGTACGAATCAAATTCTTTCTTTATTTATTTCTCAATCAATGTCAACACAATAAATTAGCTAATCTCGTCATGATAGTAATTTTCCACATTATAATCTTAATTGATTGATTGATTGATTGATCGATTCTTGATTTTGTTTCATTTTTTTTGTGCTATAGTAGTGGTGACATTCATAAAGTGTGTGTATATTTAATTATTAATTATCACATTTATTTATATGTATAATTAAAATGAATTAATTTATAATTGAAAAATGAAATAATTAATCGACCGGTATTTTTAACAACAACAACAACAACCAACCATCAACGACAACAATTATTTTCTTTTTTTTTACATAATTCATAATTGATCACTCCATGTATGTGTGCGTGTTGTGTTGATGATCATTATATTAGAAAATTAATTGATTTCCAATTCATTCATTTGATTGTCGGTTGATTGAAAATCTTTAATTACTTGATAATTTTTTTTTTTTTTTTTTTTTTTTGCTTCAAGCAAAAATCAAATTGTTCAATATTTCAACTTTTAAAAGGTAAGATTTCTTTATTCTGTGTCTGTGTGTTTGTGTAATTGAGTGATTTTTGTTTTGTTTTGTTTTGCTTCCTAAATTTTTTTCCCATTTTTTTCATGTGTGTGATATAAGAGGATTTGATTCCTTTTGTTTGTGTGTGTGTGTGTGGTATCCTTTTAGTGTCCATTTTTTTTCTTGGTTGTCATCATCTTGTTGTTTTTGTTGTTGTCTTGTGTTTGTGTGTGGTCTGCCTAAAGGCAATCGATTTTCAATCAATGACAATTGTGTGTGTGTGTGTGTGTCACACACACAGAAATAATCCTGATTACTATTATTTTTTTCTGTTTTTTCTTCCTGTATCTTCCTGTGTTTTGTTTTGAAGAATTTTATTATTGCCTTTTTATACATTGAATGATTTAGTTTAAGTTAAGCTACTTTGTTTTTGAATTTTTCATTGTTTTTGTTTTCGTTGTTTTTATGGCCGAAACACACACACACGATAATGACAACAACCTGTGTGAAGACAAGAATATTGTTGTGTTTGAATGAATAAAGTGGTAAAAAACAAAGAATAAGTACCACCACCACCACCACCACCACCACCTGGATAGTGTTTTACACAATCTAATAATTCCCAGAAGAAATTTTTTCAAATTTTTGGTGCTGATTAATGATGATTGTTTTTATTTCATTGACGACAAAAGAAAAAGGATTACTGTGTAAAGGTTCCGGATAAATTTTTATTTATTATGATGATGATAATGAAAGAATTAGGGTGCTTTTACTCTTCTTTTTTACAGAACAGCCCACAAACAATTTGTGAACAATAAAGAAATTTTTATAAAAACAAACAAAACAAGAACAATGAATGAATGAATTTTTTTTGAAGAAAAAAAATGAAGCAACAAACAGCCCATCATCATCATAATAATAATAATAATAAGCAAGTAAGCAACAAGCTATTATGACCAGAGAAAAAAAACAATTTTTTACAACAACAACAACAAAATAATATGGGCGACATATGATCCATTTGTTGTTGGTAAAATAGGGAATGATTTATGATGTGTTTGTGTGTCTGTTTATGGTGTGTGTGTTTGTATGATGATGATTGTAATATTCAGTTTTCCAAATGGTGTGATGATGGTTAGTTGGTTGGTTGGCTGATGGGTATTTTGTGCGCGCACACGTCAATAATAACCATTATTGCAAAAAAGCCCCCATAATATTTTCTTTTAATAATTTTATTTTCTCCACTCTGTATGTTTTTTTAAAATTTGTCTATGATTATTGTCTGTGTGGTTTTTTTTTGTTTTCGTTGTCTTTGATTCGGTATATATTGATGATAAATGTCTATTGTTTTTTTTTGTTCTTCGAAAGTTCCGTCTATTGAATAATATTCGTGTATGTGTGTGTGTGTGTGTTTGATGATCAATCAACCATTCACAGAATAGTAGGTCCGGTAAAATGATTTGATTGTTTTTTTTTAAAATTTTTTTTCATTGGAAAAAAAACATAAAGTTTGAATCCAATCAATGATTCATTTTGTGTATTGGAATATACAGAATCG